TCAAAAAAGAGAAATGCTCTGGAAATTATACAGGGTGTTTGAACAATCTCAGGATTGTGCTAAAACAGTGGTTTTCACCCTGTGGTCTGTGGACCCCTAGGGGTCCACAGACTATGTCTAAGGGATCTGTGGAAGATGACTATGATCAATCAAAAGTATATGAATACACACACTTACAATTCAAGGTGTCTGCAACTCCATTCCAAATAGGTCGTCAAATGAAAAAAGGTTGAAAACCACTGTGCTAATGTGTGTGTGGGGGGCGGTATTTCTGCACACTGCAGCAATCTGAAGACTTCAGATTAGATATGACTTAACAGAATGAAAAAATAGGCACCTTTACTGCCTTAGTTTTTAAAATGAGTGAAATAAATGCATGATGCATCCATGCAACAACCTTCAATTGCAGTATTAGCAAGCTTAGCTTGCTGTGCTTGACATTACTGTAAATTGGATAGCTTAATATGTCTGTGTCTCAGAAGCATGTATTAGCTGCTAATTAAACAGGCAAAGAAACTTAACACCAAAACATTACTTTGAGTAAAGTATGTGAGAGGCAAGACTTTTTGTGGATGGTATCTTTTATTGGACCAACAGCATAGTTGGGATAGACAAGCTTTCAAATGCAGCACATTCTTCTTCAATGATGTTAAAAGTGTTTAGTTGGGAGAGATGTTTGTCAAGTTTTTGGCACAGTGTCCTTCCATAGGCACTGAAGAAACATCCAAAAGCTTAGCTAACAACTTTCCCACCTGTTGGCCCAAGAAAAGACATCAGCAAACAAATCCTTTTTCTCACATATTCCCTGGAACGTCACAGCTACTACAACAAATACTACATATCTGACGGTACAGCAAAGACATATGGAGAGTTCTGGACCAAAGTCTCATTTGAAATAGTAACCCAACTTGAAAACAATGACAAAAAATGGTTATAAAAGACTTTGTGAATAGGGTTAGAGAATGGCAGCACCTGTGCACCCAATAATTCAGTTCTGTTTGCTTCCATCTCTGTGTGCTGCTGCACTATACACCTGATAAAGCAAATCTGTAAATTTGTTTTTCCCTTTTACTTTAAGAAAGCAATAGAAACGGCTAATTACATGAAATAAAGTAAAAATTACTTCTTTTAAGATCTTGCATCTTTCATTAAACTATACATCCAGTTTTGTATGTGCATATAATATACATATAATGCAATGTGTAACCATCCCTTTCACTTTGCCTCAGAGATAGTAGGGATATACTTCATCACAAACAGCAATTTGCAAGCACATGAATTTCTTCTCTAAAAAAACCCAAACACATCTGAAAAGTGATTATGTAAAGTCTCTGTAATTACCATTCAGCTTTGCACTGTGATCATCATTAAACTTCACTGGACCCAAACTGCTTAACACAAAAGTAGGGAACTGACTTGAAAAATAGCATTAGAAATGCAGCCAGAAAGGAGAGTATCTATTTTGACACATATTTATTAATTATTTTTAACATTTTGAAAAAGTCCTGCTCAAGTAAAAGGGGCAAAACAATAGTCTGAGGCAGTGTCCCCTGAAATGCACATTTGGTTTTGACTCTGCACACTATTGATAGAGTGTTGCATAGATATACATGTAAGGGAGAGGATAATGAGCAGGGCAGGGGATCTGATGTGCATTAATAAGAGTGCTGCTGCTGTGCAACTGCTTTATAGAAGGTGTGAGGCCTCAGATGGGAGCAGGTAGCCAGGTGCCTCATTAGAATGATGGCAGTCGCTATCTCAGAGCATCCTGTTCTTCCCATATATTCCTACTTCTGTTTTACCCTGTTCTCCTGAAAATAAAGGAACAGACTTTGCCTAGTGCTTGAGACTCATTACTAGTGTAGAGGAAGGACTTTAAGAGCTGGACAGCATGTCCTCTGTCCCATTTTGTTAAGTAAGTGAAGAACATTGGGAGCTTCTGGAAACAATGGGTACTGAGGACTTCTGACTAGGACCCATACCTCCACTTTTGCAAATCATGCTCCTTTGTCCCACTGCTATTGATCTTCTCCAAGCTGAGTTTCATGGTTTTTGCCATTTCCTGAAAGAACATACTCAAGTGCTCTAATTTATGGCATTCTTAGTTTAGCTATGTTTAGCATCCCATTGAAGGCTTGAAAGTAAAGTGTCCTTCCCTACTAATTTTATTCTTGTGCATTAAGGAAATGTTCAATAATGCTCCTAATGTTGACTTCCTCTCCTTTCTAAAAGCTCAGGAATTAATGCAGCTATTTCTGCAAACATGCACAGCACTGAGAAAAATGGGGAAAAGTTGTTAGAACCAGTAGGAAAAAGTAGAAAACATTCATTGCATTGTAATGCTCAAATAGCACTGATTACAATTATTTTAATATAAATTCCTCTGTAGTAGATGGCTAGGTTTGTTTATATTTAATTAATGTTTAGAATCCAAGGCATATTTCTTACTGAATTATAACAACTTTAGACTGGGATTTTCAAATAAGGCCAGCAGCATTAGACATCCCATGGGCCTTCAGTTGGGCCTCACTCCCTCAAACCTGATATGCTTAAGAGTGTGGAACAAAACTACATAAGGTTACCTTCTTAATAATAAATTTTAGGGCACCACCTGTCACCTTGCTTGGAAAACACCAACAGCAATTAAAAATGTATCAAAAGGGCTGGACTGCCTGGACAGATATTCAAAAAACCTGAGCCTGAATTGATTCAATCTTTGCAGGTTAGTCTAACCTGGCTAGGCTAAACCAGTTTGTAACCATAAAGACATCCCCCCTGGACTGAAAGAATGCAGGCACATGCCTACAGTGGTTCAGGCTAGAAGCCAGGGGGTGCTAGAGCAACCCTCCATTCCCTTCCACAATGCTAAGCTGAAGGCGGTGTGGCCAGGCCCCTGCAGGATGTTCTGATTAGGGAGGGGTTCCCCCTCCACCCCTTCTGACCAGCCCAGGAGGGAATTGATAACAGTGTTTGTTACCCCTAACTTAGTGCTTATCACCCCATTAAGGAAGCAACAGAGGGACATTACCTGTTGATTCTACCTTTGTTCTGTCTGCCACAGCACGGACCGTAGCCAACATGTGGTCTGCTAGCTAAAGCTGAGAGGTGTCTGTGTAAGGCAGAGGGGACAGGGTAATTCCTGCTTAGCAGGGAGTGGTGGGGGAGGGGAGCCTGCAGTCTCTGCCGGAGCTCCAGCTAGGGAGCAGAGGGGAGGGGCCAGCCCTGCTGTTGAGCAGACTGCCTCACCCAGCCCAGAGAGCATGCTGGGATCCTGGGTGAGTCTGATTTAACTTAAACCAGGAAGGGGTCTGGGACAGACATTGCATAAACCAGTTTGACCCAAATCACTTAAGTCTGATACTACATTCAACCAGGTTTATCTCAAACCGGTTTCAGCCATTTTCAAACTGGTTTATGTGCACTGAACATCTGTTCTGTTACAGGTTTAAACCAGTTTCTGATCACTTAAACCAGTTTATGTGTAATGTCTGTCCCTAGCCCTTGTAGGTCCGGGGAAGAAATGTACTTAAAATGGTGAAGAATTACATAGGCAGTATTACCAGCAGTAGAACAACCTCTAAACTGGTCTAACTTTTACTGGGGAGGAGGGTACCTCGGAACCCTCACCCCTTGCCCCCCATAGGATGCTATGATTAGTAGGACTGTTAAAGAATGACAATTTGCTGCATTATTATGATAATTTGCTCTTTGGGGAAGCCAGCATTTTTTTTTTTATTAAGTTTTTTTAAGTTGATTTTGTGGACAGTTGTGAATTAAGGCTCCCTACCAATATAGTACCAATACTAGCCCAAAGATCCAGTAACAATAATATAATGCATCAGGGGTGTCAAAGTTCTGGCCTGTAGGCTCAACCTGGCAGTGGAGCCATGTCATCTGGCCTGTGGTGCTCCTAGAGCAGTGGTTCCCAACCCTTTTATACTGCAGACTGGCAAACTATCTAGTTTACATATTTTAATTTAATTTTTACATGGTGGGGGGTTGTGAGGATTGGATCAGGTTGAGTCACTGCAGCTGTGGGCACCGGGGGACCCTGCAGGGGAGGGGGCTGCACAGGTGGTGGCCAAGGGGCACACAGCTGGGGCTGCCTGGGAAGAAGTGGCTCTGCTGCCTTTCCTAGGAGCAAGCAGCAGAGCTTCCTCCCTGTCTTCCACCCCGGGCATTTCCACACCCACATCCCCTTGCTCCCAGCCATGGGTGGGGCTGGGGGGTCCTGTCCAGTGTGGGCCCCAGTACCTGCTGCATGGGCAGTGCCTCACCGGGTGCAGCCATGGCGGCGGGTGTGAGATGGGGGGCACAAAGCCGGCTGCCTGCCTCCCAGGGCTGTCCCACTGCCCAGCTTTAACCCTGCACTTGGCTGCTGGCGGTGGAAGCTACTGCGGCCTGGTACCAGGCTGTGGCCCAGTGGTTGGGAACCTCTGTCTTAGAGGGACTAGGAATTTGACAATGGGGTGAGTGAGGGTGGTGCCGACCGCTGAAATCAAGGGTATAAAGCCACAATGGAGGGACATGCATCAGCAGAAAGAGGTAAGTGATGCCTGCATTAACCTCTGCAGCTCCTTGATGCTCCTACCACTTCCTCTGGGTCCAGATCTGACCCCCAAGGGGCCCCATGGTTCATATCTGGCTCAGGAGCCTGGGTGAGCTTGACACCCCTGCAGTACTGGATAGAAATCACTTACCATGACTGTACTAGCTAAATGGAGTGATGCTGCCTTCTCTGACCTCTCTAAGCTGAAGACATTTTTATATATAATGGATGTTTCATGCTCCTGTATAACAAGGTAATGCACATAACATGAGCCACTTGAGAACTGTAGTTATGTCAAAATACATATAAGGAGCTCTTGTGGTTATCCACTAAAAGAATCTTACTTCAAATCATGTTAACACAAATCAAAGTTTTCTGTATTTCCCTCTCTCCCCCGTCCCCGCCTCAAACTACATAATTCATCAGTGTGAAATGTGTTCCCTTTCTGTAGATTGTATTCCGGAAAATCAGTGATGTCAAACGTGAAGAGGAGGAGAGAATGAAAAGGAAGAACGAAGCACCACTGATTCTCCCACCTGATCACCCGGTCCGCCGGTTGTTTCAAAGATTCAGGCAACAGAAAGAAGCTCGCTTAGCGGCAGAAAGGGGAAGGGATCCAGATGACTTGGATGTGGAAAAAGGCAACCTCTTGGGTGAACACTCCTCATCCCGCAATGTGGTGAAAGCCAGCATTGTAACTGTAAGGGAGAGTCCAGCAACCCCTGTTTCATATCAGTCTGCCTCAACGTCAGGTGTATCTGATCATGCCAGACTGCAGGCCCCTACATCAGACTATGCAGGGGGCAAAGTGTCGGGGGACTACCCACGGCGTAAAGGGTGGGCCAAATTCCGCGAGGCCTGTGGAAAGGGAGAAGACTGGAACAAAGTATCCAAAGCAGAATCCATGGAGACTTTACCAGAGAGAACTAAAGCCGCAGGAGAGGTCACTCTGAAGAAGACCGATTCATGTGACAGTGGCATTACAAAAAGCGATTTGCGCTTGGACAATGTTGGGGAGGCAAGAAGCCCACAGGACCGAAGTCCTGTCCTTACAGAAGTCAAGCATTCTTTTTACCCTATCCCAGAACAGACGCTTCAGGCTACTGTGCTAGAAGTGAAACATGAGCTGAAAGAGGACATCAAGGCTTTAAACACAAAAATGACCAATATAGAAAAACAGCTTACTGAGATACTAAGGATATTAACCTCAAGGAGAAGCTCTCAGTCACCACAGGAGTTGTTTGAAATATCAAGGCCTCAGTCTCCAGAATCAGAAAAAGACATTTTTGGAGCAAGCTGAGATGTTTCTTTTAAAAAAAAAAAACCAAACAATCAAAAACCCAACTATTTTAAATTTAGTCTTTCTTGGGGAAAACCAGTGAGGGACCAGTTCACTAAGCATGTTCCCTGTCTCTAAAAAGGTACAGTAACAGGATTAACAACCTCATGTCAAGATGGCAGCTGACTGAAGTCTTTTTGACAGCAAGGGTATAGTTTTTAAAGTTTTTTCTTCTTCTTCCTTTGGTATATTCTCTCCCCTACCCTCTCCCCCCCAGGATGTTTAGATAAGAAGTTTGGGAATGGCAGCCACTCATACACACATTAAGTGACCTCACAGATTTTTGGAGCATGCCTTATATATATCTAGTTCAGTTTTTGAATGAAGATTTGCCAGGGTGTTTAAATTCTCCACCAAACTTTAACATTTTTTTTGCTGCTGCTGCTGCTATTACTAATTGCCCTAATTCCCCTGTAAACACATTAAATGCCACAATATAGTTATTTTCATACTGAAATGATGATGTAAATATCTGAGATATGTTTTTATATAGTTGCCTCTCAGCTGCAAAGTGCACTATTTAATTTCAAAAGGTAGCTGTGGATAGTATTCTACATTGACGCTTGGGGGAAAATGAAGCATATCTACATTTTATTTCAATATCTACTGCATGATGCCAACATAATTTCACTTAAAATCCTTCCAGATAGCCACAGTGTTTAAACTTTTAATCAGTGAGATCTTTCATGTCTCCAACAGTAGCAACAAGGACAGTAGATTCTCAGAAACTAAACATTTATAATTTGTTCTCAGATGCCTTTGAACATTGATACATTTGCCTTTGATTCTCCTTAAAATTTTCCATAGAAACTCCAGAGGACAAGGAACCATGTGTGCAGCATGCTTGAACACAGTGCAGCACAGATGATGAAGCATTACAATGTATCAGTGTCACTTCTCTGTTCTTCAGGTTGCTATCTATCATGAAAATATATTGTGGCATCCCCGTTCTATTTTTATTGTAAATCTGCATTTATAATTTAGTTAGAAGTAACCTTCAGAAGTTTCTGTTTTGATACTGTTCTTTGATCACAGCCAAAGGCACTTGCAGAACTTCTTAAACATATAAATAGTTGTGATTCTTGGTTTCTCTACATCTAAAATTATTATTCTTTTTCTAATCTGTCATAACATCAGTGGCTATAACAACTGAAAGTACAGTGAATGCCATGTGCAAGTGAGATCACACCAAGGAAACAAAAAGTCTGCTTCTTAAAAGATGGTGTTTCCAAATCTGACGATGTTCTCATAGTACTACTAGAGAGACACAAGCACTTTACCAAACTAGTATTATTAATCACTAAAGTCATTGAGTTGACATAAAGGCCTTGAGATATAAGAATATAGTTACTGTAAACTCTTATTAGATGTATTTTTTGTCCACCATCAAAGATTGTTTTGGGGATCTGTGGAGGGATGTGACATGAAGCGATCTTTCCAGAGTGGAATAGCTGACTCTTGATCCCTTTCCTTTTGAGGGTATGAGCTTAAATGTGATCTTTGTTTCACATAAGATAATGGGGCTTCATGGAAAAAACCCATCTCAAAGGATTTCTGAGGGGAGACGGTTTCCAAAATTGCAGATATTAATTGCAGCACTCCTGAGAAGACGGTCTCGGGGCACAATTCTTTAGGGGGTTTTTTTCCCTCCACACACAAAAACAAATGTGTTACCAAGAGAAACACAGGGTTTGTTTGGTTAACTTTTTTAGGTTTTCAAGGTTAGTTTTCTCTAGTGTTAGTTGGTAGAGATGCACATTAGGAACAACATACACTACTAAGGGAAACAATATTTGAACAACAAAACTCACCATGTGTTTGATAGTGCCTGCACCAATCTATACAAGGTCCATGTAATAGCTGTACTGTGATAAACAGAGTAAACTCAAACACACGCACGTCTCAATTTAAGATCATGAAGTGACTTTTCATAGACTCATACATCAATATACCCATTAAATCATAAGTAACAGTTAAACCATACAGCATTTTTTAGTCTCAATCATATGCTGAGATGTGGATTTATCAGTTTATATCAGGATTTAGACTGTAAACTAGAGCTTGTCTTTTACTTCCCTCAAATTGGGCCTAGCTCATGAGATTGGGTTCCAAATACACTAGTTTTTCAGGGTAACATTTCAAAAGTGTCTAATCCTAGTAGCATACCGAAGGTGGGATGGGGGGAAGGAGGTTTGACAAAGGTATCAGTCCTGGGTGCAGAGTTAGGAGGGGAGAGAGCAAAAGCAGCTTCTGAGCTGTTGGCCTGGCCACCACCACCAGGACATCCCAGCCACAGATGCTGCCCCATGTGCCACCCCCACCCAGGGTGCAGAAGTGCCCAGGTACACCTCTACAAAAGCTCTATTGAATTCAGTGCAACTTGGGCATGTAAAGTAATGAAGCACTTCTGAAAATTTTACTCTACTGCATTTCATTGGAAAATGTAAGAGCTCTATTTAGGCCAGGGAGGAAAGCGTACATCTTTCACATGTGTGCCTAAGCACAGAAGAGTTGGATACAAACACAGGTTGTCTGGCCCTTCCTAGCTGATACCAGGTTCAGGCTCTGTGGTCAGCTAAGTGATGCCTTGGTAGGGTCCTCAGGGAAAATTGAGTGGGTGTTTTGGTGTTCCTGAGTGCCTAATGTTGGAATTATGGCAGGTCTGAAACCCAGTAGCTGTGTAGTTAGCCCTGGTCTGTCTGATGGTGGGAAATCAGAATAAATCAGTGCTGCTCAACCTTTTGGCCCAGTGTGCCAGATGAGTGGTGTGGAGTTGGTTTTCAGGCCAGATCCTGGGATCAGCACCTGGCCTGGCTGCTGCACATTTGGTTTGGCCCTGTGCTGCCTTGGGCTGGCCCTGTGAGCTAGATAAGACTATGTGTACCTAGATCAGAGCCCACACCGCCTCAGCCCAGCCCTGCACGGCAAGATCAGGCCCTGCGTGCCCAAAATGGATCCCACAACACCTCAGCCTGGCCTGGCGTGGCACAGCTGTATCAGGCCCAGCACTGCCTTGGCTTAGCTCCATGCCACCACATCTGCCCGTGCATCACCTCAGCCCCGTGCCCCTATGTAGCAAACAAGGCCACATTAGTTGGTCTGCTAGGCTCTTCACATCTGGAAATTTGTCAGGAGGGGAGTGGCAATTGAGGCTGCCTGCTGCCCTGCCACCAAAGTTTTGGACTCTTGGGGAGCCCTGTGGGCCAAATGACATGATTCTAAGGGCCAGATCTGGCTTGCCGGGTGGAGGTTGAGCACCTCTGGAAGAAATGAATGTAGTTTCCCACTTCCCGTGGCTAAATGCCATTACTGCCTGAAGCCCACTGTTGTACTATACAATTACAGGGGCACAAACTCTGTACTAAAAGGTGGGTGCAGAATGGAACCTGCCTGTAGCATTGGCTTGTGAGGCCTTCACAGATTTTAATGCATTTTGGAATTATGTTTAATTTTATGCCTCTGGAAACTGTGGACCAAATTTAGCTCTGTTATACCTACTTAGAATAACTCCATTACAACATCCTCTAAATACCTGCTTCAAATCAGCATTGAACTCAATCAATATAGCACTGATTTACACGGCTGTAACTGAGACCAGCTGCTGGTCCTTTAAAGCTCTGAACAGACAGCGACTAAGACTATAGCCCTCAGTGACAGGTAGAGCCCTCAACGATTTCCATACATTGTACAAGTATTATTTTTAAAGTGTTTGTTAGCACTGTCTTCAAACTTTGCATATGCATCTGGTCCTCCCACTGGGTCATGAAGTCAACAAGAGCTGTGTGTTCTTGAAGCCACATGTAGGCTCTTTCTTGTTACTTATAATTATTTTCTTTTGTTTCTCTGTTGCCTTCTTCCAAGCTATTTTTCATCATAGAAATGGATGATCTCTACAAATGGAATTTTATCTTTTAACAACCAAATGCTTGTACATACTGTAAAAACAGTGTTAACTGTGCTCTTGCGTAGTGTTTCTGCCATGTTACAACTTGATGAATAATCTACATTTTAACAGAAAGATGTTTTGCACTTGACTTTTACTTCAAAACTGTAATTAGGATTGAAATTGAATGCAGGTAAAGTGTTATTAATATATTTTGGTGAAATGACAGGTTTTAAAAGTTAGTAACATTTACCCTAGGCATCACACCATTAAAAATAAACTCTGTGTTCAGATACATTTACTTCTGTTTGATATTACATGTACACTATTAAAAACACCATTCTTGCTTTAAATTTTATTCACAGTGCTGTCCCGATTTCCAGAGAACATCCAGTTTAACAGCTTCGAAGGTGATGTTCTACTTCTACAGTACTTCACTTTAATGAACCGAAAGAACTAATTGCTGTGAATATCCTGGTGATTTATTTTTTGACTCAAGTGTTGATCAGTTTGTGGAACAACTTGAAACATGCTTTTTGACTTAACTATCTAAGCTTCAGTGTCTATGATTACATATATATACATACACGCAGATAAAATATACAAATGTATAGATAACACTATAGATTGTATATCAATCAAATAAGAGCACACCATTCATTTAACAGTAAAGTTTCAAGAAAGGACTGTGTCTTCCCTAGTAGACATTAACAGAAATTGTTCTAGTACAATACATTGTTTCTGACAACTATTAACCCTTTCAGGCTACTTCTTTACTTTGTTTGCTAAACTTACATTTTATACTGTTAATCTGAATAAATTATGATAGTGCGAGTGAGATGAAGTCTGGCAAACATTGCGATAGCTAAGAATTGAAAATGCGCACAGGCCTGAAAAGCACTCTGGCAAAACTGTTGAGGAGGAAGGCAGGGTAGATTTGCACCTTATAGACTAACTAAATCTTAGCAGTATAACATAAGTTTTTGTAAGCAGAGATCTTACTTCATCTGATGAAGGGGCTTACTTCATCAGAAGGCTTACTTCATCATATGCTGCTTGATGAAGTAGTCTGATGAAATATTATTGAGAACATGATTCATCATCCTCAACATGTTGCCATTCCTGTGTTATTGAAAGCAAAGTTGCTCTGGGACTGGTTCTTACAGTTCCTTTCCTAGGACAGAGTAAAGAATAGATTGTGTTTGGTCTCAGATGCTGGCTCAAATCTGTTGAGCCTATGACTCCTTTCATGGGGCAGAATGAACCATTGTCATTGCACCACTATTACATTATTCTACCAGTAGGGGTAGAATTGCACTTGACATGTTGAGAAAGCGAGTAGCTGAAGGCTATTTCCTATGGGTGTATTAGAGATAACAAAGCTTGTATTTCATCTGCACTTCTAAGTCATAAAGACAAACATTTCAAAGACAACCTCACCCTGAGAAAGCTCCAGGAATCTGATGTGAGGTACAGTAAGTACTGTAGATTACTATATTCTCTGATCTGATTTGTTTTGGACCACATCATTGTGGTAAGCATTGATTCAATTAAGTAAATATAAAGCTTTTTGCAATAAGATGTATTCAACATTTAGCCTTAAGACCCTTTCATAAGTGATACAATTCAAATGGCTATTCAGTTCTCAATTTTCTTTTTAATGTTCTATAGTATTTACAGCGTTGCCTAAAGATAAAGCACTTTGATTAGCTTTCTAAATCTAATGGAAATCACTTGTTGGTAATTATATTTTTCTCCACTTATTGCCTTCTTATTAGTATAATAAATTATTCCAACAGCCCTTTCCTCTTACAAAACAAAGAAACATAATCAATGTTGAAACATTTTTTTATATCAGGGAGCTGTCACATCATATTGCTAAAGCGTTGGTGTTTAAAACATTTTTTACAGTTCAACAAAGCTGATGTGAATTTA